GTTGTTCCCCAAGGATCTTGCTTAATTTTTTAGACAACAGCTCTTTTGTTCCGAGTGCCTGCGTAGACTAGGTTGCTATGGAAATAATAACTTAAATGCTCTCTCTTTTCAATCAAATGTTAATGCTTGCTTAAATGCTTTAGGTGTGGTTGTTCCCCTGGGATGAATCATTTAAGACAACAGCTCTTTTGTTGCAAGTGTCTGCACAGACTACATAGCCATGCACATAATTCAAAATTCAAAATCGAATGCTTATTTATAACTGAATGCTAATTTGTAATTGAATGCTAATTTATAATTGAATATTAGAGGATGGCACCCAGGCTACCGAAGCTCCACGACTCAAGAACTCAGTACATACGTACAATGGCGACTCATAAATGCCTCAAAAAGCCGGCTTGTCGTGTACGGCGTGTACTACTGGAAATTCGCAATACTAGCTTTGTATTCCTGTGGTTTAGTAGCATTTTTATTTTTGGCCGGATTTTTTTCTTCGCCCGCGCGCGTTTGGGGTCTTCAGAGGATGTCATCCATGAAATTAAGGGGGTGTGGCTTTAAGTGGAAAAGCCAGTGCAGTGGCCAAGCTTACTCACCGCCCATCTGTGTAAAATCTTGTCAAAAATTACTTTTGTTTCGCATCTATTAGTCTAAAACAGCGTTAGTATTTAGTATTTATGAGTGTCACGCGTTCGGTAGCATAAACTTCGTAAAAATGGTTACGGACACTTGTGCATGTGCAAACTTTTTCTCCTTGCTTATAGAGGATTCCAACAACAGGTGTTATGTTCCCCAGGTGCAGTGTATGTGCAGTACAGAAATTGTGCAGAATTATGCAGTACATTTTGATACAGCAGTAGTCTGTTGGTGTGATTACCCGATACGGAATGCCGTGGTTTTCGGGTGCATGAAGGGGTAATAATGAGATGTCCTAAAGCTAAATCTCACGAACTGACAGCAAAATGGTGCTTATTAGGGCAGCATATCAGGACTATTTTGTTTCTGCAACCGAATCCAAAAACGGAAAAAAAAGAAAAATCCATCTTATTCCGCTTCTTTGGACATGAGTAGACAGAGCACTTCAATTTTCTTTCTGGATGAAATCATTTGAACTCTCGTTTGCTTGAATCTGTGAAACATCTGTGGCCAGACAACCGCAACTTGATTATGATTGAGTAGGGCATGCTTGGTTAGACGCTAAAGCAAACCCGCCCACCCTTAAGGCTGTGGGTAGGTGGGTGTCTTTCATTCCCATATATCTTCAAATCATGCAGCTATACGGAATGTGGTTACCGTGGTTGCCGCGTCTCTGTAGGGGCAATAATGAGATGTTCTGAAGCTAAAACTGACAGCAAATCGGTGTCTTATTCATTGCAGGCAATGTTGCAAAAAGAACACCAAACCTCTGTGCATTCAACCGGGTGTGATTGCCCTATACGGAATGTGGTTACCATAGTTGCCGGGTCCCTGTAGGGGCAATAATGATATGCCCTAAAGCTAAATCTCACGAACTGACAGCACAATGGTGCTTATTAGGGCAGTATATCAGGCCTGTTTTGTTTCTGCACCCGAATCAAGAAAACGAGGAAAATCCATCTTATTCCGCTTCTTTGGACATGAGTAGACAGAGCACTTCATTGTTTTCTTGATGAAATCATTTTATCTCTCGTTTGCTTGAATCTGTGAAACATCTGTGGCCAGACAACCGCTATTCATGATTTTGTAAGGCATGGTTAGACGCTAACGTAAACCCGCCCCTTAAGGCTAAGGGAGGGTTTTCCATGGTTTATAAAATTAAAAGGAATGAAAGACCTTTATTGTACATTTTTGCTCATTGCGAACTAAGTACAGGTCACGACAAATAGCAACGGTAGACTAAAATATATCTACAGTACAACTGCATATGTACAGGTTCTGCTTCTTCTCGCTTCGCAAGACAGTTGTAAATGTAAGAACAGATGGAGCCTATAGTACTTGGGTTATCGAGTTTCAAAAAAACCTATTATGATAACCGGTCGGACTTCTTTGGTGGCAAGAGAACCAGTTGGACAAGCCGAGGCGAGTTCTGAAGCTCTGCGGCTAAAAACNGTACGGCGTGTACTACTGGAAATTCGCAATACTAGCTTTGTATTCCTGTGGTTTAGTAGCATTTTTATTTTTGGCCGGATTTTTTTCTTCGCCCGCGCGCGTTTGGGGTCTTCAGAGGATGTCATCCATGAAATTAAGGGGGTGTGGCCTTAAGTGGAAAAGCCAGTGCAGTGGCCAAGCTTACTCACCGCCCATCTGTGTAAAATCTTGCCAAAAATTACTTTTGTTTCGTATCTATTAGTCTGAAACAAAGCGTTAGTATTTAGTATTTATAGGTGTCACGCGTTCGGTAGCATAAACTTCTTATAAATGGTTACGGACACTTGTGCATGCGTATAACAAGGCTCTTTCAATTAAATGCTTATGCAGAAAGGAATAAACGTTTCAGCTGCAAACTTTTTCTCCTTGCTTATAGAGGATTCCAACAACAGGTGTTATATTCCCCAGGTGCCCATTACATTTTCTGTATGTGCAGTACAGAAATTGTGCAGAATTATGCAGTACATTTTGATACAGCAGTAGTCTGTTGGTGTGATTACCCGATACGGAATGTGGTTACCGTGGTTTTCGGGTGCATGAAGGGGTAATAATGAGATGTCCTAAAGCTAAATCTCACGAACTGACAGCAAAATGGTGCTTATTAGGGCAGCATATCAGGACTATTTTGTTTCTGTCAACCGAATCCAAAACGAAGGAAATACCATCTTACTCCGCTTCTTTGGTACATGAGTAGACAGAGCACTTCAATTTTTTTCTGGATGAAATCATTTGAACTCTCGTTTGCTTGAATCTGTAAAACATCTGTGGCCAGACAACCTCTATTTGATTATGATTGAGTAGGGCATGCTTGGTTACACGCAAACGTACACCCGCCCACCCTTAAGGCTAAGGGAGGGGTGTGTGTCTTTCATTCCCAGATAAAAGAATAAAAGAATAAAAGAAGTCAGTTACGGAATGTGGTTACCGTGGTTACCGGGTCCCTGTAGGGGTAATTATGAGATGTCCTAAAGCTAAATCTCTCCAACTGACAACAAATCGGTGTTTTTATTCATTGCAGGAAATATAACATCAGGCCTGTTTCTGCGACCAAATCCAAAAACGAGTTAAATCAATGCCATGCCCCTTCTTTGGATATGAAGTTGAGTAGATACACCACTTCCAGTTTTTACCATCTCTGATCTCTGTACTGGGTATTGAGGCAATGTGTAATTAAGTGTGATTAAAAAGTGTGAAAAAAGTGTGATTAAAAAAGTGTGAAAAAAGTGTGATTAAAAGGTCATCACCTGAGGGATGAATTATCTTGAGTACCGACAACAACAAGCTTATAAATTTTCTGTCACAAAAAAGAACCCCAAACCGCTGTGCATTCAACTACTGTAACGGAAACAGTTTAAGAAAGAACCCGTGAAAATGTCAATATTTGAAAATAACACTCGATACTGGGGCAAAGAAAACCAACCATTTCTAGCATTTTAGCTTATTAAGGTGTTGGCCAGGCCTAGGTCACTGGGGTATATGAGGCTAAAAAGTCATCACCTGAGAATTTTCATGAGGAATGAGAATTTTTCTTTTCTATCTAAAATTCAAAAACTACCTAAAGAGAAGCCAAACCCTTCAGACAAAATTTTTAGACACAGTTTCAGACAATTACCCTTTACTATATAGATTTTGAAGTTATCAGTACTCTGGTTCAATTGTTATTTGCAATTAGCTTAAGGGCTTTGGCTAAGGAATTTGCGAAAAAAAAAACCCTTTTCATAACTTCTTTGGTGGCAAAAGAACCAGTTGGACAAGCCGAGGCGAGCTCTGAAGCTCTGCGGCTAAAAACTTATTATTTCTTCGGACGCTACTGAAGATGGCGGGCGCTCTGACTTTCTTCGCGATTCTTCTCCTCCTGGGTAATTATTTTTGTTGTTTTTTTCTATTTTTGTGAGATATAGCGGAGCCTATTGCTACTTTACTTACTGAATTATGAAAAAGGAAGTCAATATACTCTAACGGAGGGGTGGTTTCAGAAAGGGAAAACTAGGGGCGCTTTTTCATTTTCCTGATGGATTTTACGGTCGAGCGTGTTTCTGCGACTATTCACAACCAGATCGCCCCATGTTTAAGTGACCAGTGCTGTGTTTTATTCAGGTGTTTTACGCATAAATCCTACTTCTAAATATTATCTAGTTATTACCAAAGCGTTGTGACTATATTATGATTTTTTCTTCTTTGTTTACCGCCGAATCCGCGATGAAAAGTCCGGGTGCGCGGCGGGCCGACACGCAACCTGACCCGCCGCCGAATTCGGGTGCGCCGCTTGCTGTAACGCACATTTGTTAGACTGCTAAGAAACTCTGCAACACTGACTAATCTACTTCGTCTTTGTGAGCAGTTATGGGGTTCTGTTATGTTGAATTTCTTAATAATTCTAGTGTTCTAGTGTGTTCATCGGCGTGTCTTCATTTCCATTTCTTCACATTTTCTTCTTTTTCTGAATTGATTTCGGCAGTCTACGACATTAGTATCATTCTCCAATACCTTTTTTTTGCAACACACGACATAGATTCGCTCTCATTTTGTACGATTTACAGTACGATCTAAAACTTTTCTTCTGGAAACGGACGAAAATTACATACGATAGGACACAGAAAATACGGTACAGGGAGCTGCTCTGACCATAACAGCAGAACAAAGTAAAACTGTTTGTGACTTCATTTTTCTTTATTTAATCGTACTTCAGAAGCTCTACTACAGAAATTAATAGCTCTCTGAGTACTAGTAGTCTGGCACATGTTCCATGTAAGACATCATGAAATGAGCGGGGCGCGCATCCAGGCGCGCGGATTTGTTTGCTCCCACTACCCTATCGTATGCGGCATGCCTCTCCGGTACCAGTGCGCCCCACTTCGGCATCGCGGAGCGTTCATGTCTTCTTCTTCTTCTGATCACGTCCTCTCTAAGACCTGGGTCTAGGCCTGGGTAGTCCATTGTAGTTGGCGACAATACGGCACTGGTAACTTTAGAGGATGGCACCCAGGCTACCGAAGCTCCACGACTCAAGAACTCAGTACATACGTACAATGGCGACTCATAAATGCCTCAAAAAGCCGGCTTGTCGTGTACGGCGTGTACTACTGGAAATTCGCAATACTAGCTTTGTATTCCTGTGGTTTAGTAGCATTTTTATTTTTGGCCGGATTTTTTTCTTCGCCCGCGCGCGTTTGGGGTCTTCAGAGGATGTCATCCATGAAATTAAGGGGGTGTGGCCTTAAGTGGAAAAGCCAGTGCAGTGGCCAAGCTTACTCACCGCCCATCTGTGTAAAATCTTGTCAAAAATTACTTTTGTTTCGCATCTATTAGTCTGAAACACAGCGTTAGTATTTAGTATTTATGGGTGTCACGCGTTCGGTAGCATAAACTTCGTAAAAATGGTTACGGACACTTGTGCATGTGTATAACAAGGCTCTTTCAATTAAATGCTTATGCAGAAAAGAGTAAACGTTTCAGCTGCAAACTTTTTCTCCTTGCTTATAGAGGATTCCAACAACAGGTGTTATGTTCCCCAGGTGCCCATTACATTTTCTGTATGTGCAGTACAGAAATTGTGCAGAATTATGCAGTACATTTTGATACAGCAGTAGTCTGTTGGTGTGATTACCCGATACGGAATGTGGTTACCGTGGTTTTCGGGTGCATGAAGGGGTAATAATGAGATGTCCTAAAGCTAATCTCACGAACTGACAGCAAAATGGTGCTTATTAGGGCAGCATATCAGGACTATTTTGTTTCTGCAACCGAATCCAAAAACGAGGAAAATCCATCTTACTCCGCTTCTTTGGACATGAGTAGACAGAGCACTTCAATTTTTTTTCTGGATGAAATCATTTTAACTCTCGTTTGCTTGAATCTGTGAAACATCTGTGGCCAGACAACCGCAATTTGATTATGATTGAGTAGGGCATGCTTGGTTAGACGCTAACGCAAACCCGCCCACCCTTAAGGCTGTGGGTAGGTGGGTTTCTTTCATTCCCATATCTCTTCAAATCATGCAGCTATACGGGATGTGGTTACCGTGGTTGCCGCGTCTCTGTAGGGGCAATAATGAGATGTCCTGAAGCTAAAACTGACAGCAAATCGGTGTCTTTATTCATTGCAGGCAATGTTGCAAAAAGAACACCAAACCTCTGTGCATTCAACCGGGTGTGATTGCCCTATACGGAATGTGGTTGCCGTGGTTGCCGGGTCCCTGTAGGGGCAATAATGATATGTCCTAAAGCTAAATCTCACGAACTGACAGCAAAATGATGTTTATTAGGGCAGTATATCAGGCCTGTTTTGTTTCTGCACCCGAATAAAAAAAAACGAGGAAAATCCATCTAGGCACCATCAGTTTGTGGGAGGAAGCTTGCCTGGTGATTCTATATTGGCACTCCATATATGAGTTCTTACACGTCTTTACTGTCTGTGTGTTACAGGACATTCAGCAGAAGCGAACAAGTGTGGTAAGTGTCTTAAACAAAATTTTTTATAGCGTTAACGTATAATGGTAGTTAAATTAACTGTTTTATTTATTCATTTATTTTCCGTCATTTTTACACAGGGTTGCCCATTCAGTGATAGCACTTCTTTTCAATGGGGTCCTGTTTTACACAACAAAACACAACAGCCACATACAGACAGTAACATAGGGATACAATAAATAATGATAATTGTAATGATAATGATAATAAAGAAAAAACAGTAATTAACCAATAACAATGATAAATATAATAACAAAAGGTACAAATTGTCCAGTCATTGTCCAGTCCAGTTTGTTGGTATGGAGGGGTCAGAGGTCAGGCCATTGTTCCAAAATTAGTCCTAGAGGTAAGTACGGTATTGGCCGTAATTTCTTGTGCTTCTTCTACATCTTCATAGCTGGTGGCATAACAAACATTGGCCTGAACCGCCCTGCGACCCAGTCTAGTACATATCAGGGTGCAGTCGCCGGCCGCGCTGTGGATGATAACGTTGTTCCTCGTTGGGACAGAGGGACCTGTACCCACACGAAAAGCCAAACCAACCCATGGTGGCGAGTCGACCTGGGCAGCAGTCAGTGCGTGGACAAGGTGGGGATCAAAAACCGGCAAGACTGTTGCTGGGAAAGGCTTCAAGGCTTCAAGGTTCACGTGGGCGACAACCCCGACGTGCTGAAAAACCCTACCTGTGGGGGAGCGAATTACGCAGGGGCCGAGATGATGATAGTCTGTGACGGACTGACCGGCCGATATGTGGGGATCAGTTTGACAGGCTCCAGTAGAATCCTTACCCTCTGTGATGTGAGGGTCTGGGGAGGTACGTCTGCATTGAACCACTAGACTTCTGTTAGTGAAGTTTGTCATTTAGGACACATCATAATCAAACTGGATTACACCTTAAAGGTGTCCAATGCAGTTTTAGGGTCGTAAAATTAGATATTAGGCCAATATTCAAGTTATAAATAAAACATACTAAGTTGTAGCAACACTACCCCAATATATACCGTGCCAGAACCGTGCCTAACTTTAAACTTCAGGTATAGAACTAGATAGGCACAGTTCTGGATTTCTTAACGTAGATTTTAATTAATGACACAGCTCCCATGTAAGTTTGTTTTAATGCTCAAAACGTAACATGTTACAGATGTCAAGAACCGGAAGCGAGGATATTATGAAGCACTTCCAGGTACAGGTAAGGGATGTTTAGTTTCCCTAGGAATATTAAAAACAAAGCAATGCATGAAACCAGGAACAATGTAGAACAAAGTAGAACAAAGCAGACCGTAAACCAATCGACAGGAGCATAGTTTTAACCCATATCTACTCTTAAGCCTTACACGTAAGAGGAGATGTATTTTCGTGTGTGCGTGTTCCCCCTCCTCTACACACACACACACACACACACACACACACACACACACAC